ATATATCGAAATCGTCGCTGGTGGCGATGCAGATGTTGGTGCAGCATCCTCTGGTCAAGCGGCTGGTACTCAGCGCGCCGGGAGCCTGACCCGCATCCAGTGCGATCATTGCGGCAACCTACGTTTGGAGGGGCAGCATCGTTGCTTCCATTGTGGCTGTTTCCTGACCAAAGGAAGCAGGCAGTCAACGTTCCGCATGTTTATGAGCCGCAAGCGCAACGACGTCCTCGACCAGATCGCCCAGGAAACTGGCCACCGGCTCTGGCAGCTGACGGCTGACCAGGTACGCCGGGGCTCAGGACAGCACGACAACCGCGGCGCTCAGTCTGTCGATGGAAAGGCTATTGCTCAGGCAAAGCAAAGCCTTAAGCACTTCCGTGGCCAAGGACACTCTGGCATGCTCGACAAATTCGATTCTGACCACAACTATGCCATTTACGCGGTCCGAAATGGATGGACTCGCCGGTTGTTGTCAATTCAGGAGTGCGTTGCTTTCGCTTATCTCCCGAATCCTGGCCGCAATCGTGAACAGAGAGCATTGGGTTACGGATCGAGCCGTCGTTTGGAAGCAAGCCAAGTGGACCACACGGCACTTTGCCGTATGGTGTACTTCGACAAGCCCGCCGGTGATCTCATCCAGGCCGGATTATTGTCGAATGACCAGGAGGAGCCCATCGGTTTTGCCTGGCTTGGTAGCTTCTATGGTGTTGAGGATTTTTCTCGCGTCGCCTTCTTTACGAGGGGGGTGAGCCACATTCTTACCTTCTGCGAAGGCACCATTTAGCTCCCACGTGCGACTGAGGCCGGCGACATCAAGGTCTTCCTGAAGGCGGTGGTTCGTGACAATCATTCCGCAGCGAGAACATTGGTTGGCCAAATGAAAGATGACGCCGAGGCCTCACGTGCAGCACAAAGGCTCGCGGATGAGCGTCGTGCCCGGCAACAGGAGCGCAACGCCCCTCGCAATGAGGAGGCCGACACATGGTCGTCCTCAACGTGGGGCTGGTCTGACCACGGAGCTTGGTGGTCGGGAGACTGGCGCTCTGAGAATCGCTGGACCGAATGGGACTGGAGCAGCTGGCAGCAAGACCGCCACACTCCATGGCGCTGTGATCATAGCCGTAGGTGGTAATACACCACATTTTGCGTTTGCGCAACACGTTTGCCATTGCCTTGTTTTCCTCTTTTGCGGCACGCGTTGTGTTCTGCGGTGTTTGCTCATACCGTGTCTGTATCCCCGCCGACGTTCCAGCAAACGGAACCAAACAAAGAATACGCCGCCTCTTAGGGCTGGCCGGGATATTTTTGAAGTCGGTGCGCGGTGATCGGCGGTGTGCTTTTTGGAATTCACACCTCGGGCTACAGTGCTCTGAACATGCAGTAGAAAAGGCAATGCGGCACTAACTGTGCACGCCGTGGCTTCGTTGACAGCGCCTCAGCATTTTACGCTTCGACGAGGGGGGTGTATTTTATATTCGGACCTCCTTGCCACTTTTGCCTTCATGTATGTTGCACCTATCGCACTCAAGCCCTCTGAGACAAACAGGTAGAAGTGCGCCTGTGTTTCATGGCTTAACGGATTGCATTGGTGGATTTCCCAAACTATACTTATTACGACTCCAGGCTTAAACCCGAAACCTAAACCCTAAACCATCAGCCCTACACCCTAAACCCTAGACCCTAAACCCCAACCCCAAATCCTAAACCTTAAACCCTAAACCCTAAACCCTAAACCCTAAACCCTAAACCCTAAACCCTAAACCCTAAACCCTAGAAGGTGAAACCCTTCGAAGTGGCAGAGCAGCCTGGGAGCTTTGCGAAGTGTCCACGCAGCGCGGCGTTCTTGAGTGATCCCCTCTCCCCGTAAGAGGGTTTAGGGTTGAGGGTTTAGGGTTTAGGGTTAAGGGTTTAGGGTTTAGGGTTGAGGTTTTAGGGTTTAGGGTTTAGGGTTTAGGGTTTAGGGTTTAGGGTTTAGAGCTTGGGAGGATTTGGCTTGGCACATAAGGGTTCCTGAAGGTAGGGGCAAGTTACCATCTTTGCGGTTTCTGTAAACAGGACTAGAAGCGTTTGTAGGGTTACATAACATAAGGGATTCCCTTTTTGGGAAGTGCTCCAATGCTTGTACGCATTTTGCATGTTTGGGTGTAGGGTTTATGGTTTAGGGTTCCTGGTTTCGGGGTTGCAGGGCTTAAGGCTTGAGGCTTACGTACCCGGGTTCACAAGCTGAGGCCAGGATGAGGTTCGCGCGGAACCTCCCAGCCGGGCAACCCCTGAAATGGCGCTGGAGGTCCTCCTCCCGTACGCCGCCGTGGATGCCTGGGTTCCTGTCCTGCACTTGCTTTTCTTCTGGTTTTTTGTTTTTCTTGGGGGGGGGGGGGTTAGGGGGTTTGGGTTTTAGGGTTAGGGTTAGGGTTTAGGGTTTAGGGTTTAGGGTTTAGGGTTAGGGTTTAGGTTTAGGGTTTAGGTTTAGGGTTTAGGGTTTAGGGTTTAGGGTTTTAGGGTTTAGGGTTTAGGGTTTAGGGTTTAGGGTTTAGGGTTTAGGGTTTAGGGTTTAGGGTTTAGGGTTTAGGGTTTAGGGTTTAGTTTTTAGGGTTTAGGGTTTAGGGTTTAGGTTTAGGGTTTAGGGTTTAGGGTTTAGGGCAAGTTTAGGGTTTAGGGTTTAGGGTTTAGTGTTTAGGGTTTGGGGTTTAGGGTTTAGGGCTCTGAACCCTTAAGCCCCAGGGTGACCGTCCTGCAGATCAAAGTTTCGGCTTTTGGGTGAAGGAGTGGAAGCGCAGGGGCTCTGGACCCTGAAGCCCCAAACCCTCAACCTAATTAGTCACTAAAACCTCCAAGCTCCCATCTTTTGCAGACGGCCCAAGCCCCCAAACAATACACAGACCCCTCCTCCGCGACACACGAAAAACTGTACCCGCCCTCCTTTTACCGAACCCAAAGCCCCCTACGCCATACATAGACCCAAAGCAAGGTGAGCAGTGGTTTTGTGCTGGCCCTCGCCCTGCATTTCCGGCTGAAGATCGACGTGGACACGTCCAGGATACCCTCCGCCCCATTCCAGGCGTGGCCCAGGAACAACTCTCTCACTTCTCTTAACTGCACACCCCACTACACACCCGGGTAACCGCTCGGTGCCCAAAAATCTCTAGGTAAACCTTTTGGGGATAAAGGGTGGTGGAGGGGGGTGCAGGTGGGAACTAAGCCGTGAAGCCAACATGCAAAACCGAGGTGCGAATTGGTGTAATCTAGCTGGTGCTTTCGCTTTCGAGCCCAGTTCATTCCCCTAACCTACATGCAGGTCTCAAGTCTTCGGCTGCACTTGATTGAAGCCTTCGGACCAGGATGCTCTTAGGCCCTAGAATCCCCATCGTCAACCCTATAAAGGGGCCTTCTCGTTCTGAGATCCTTGTTTCGGCAGGTGCGCGTGTCCTTGGCGGGCAGCCCAGGGCCCCTGGGCCTCGTACTTCTGCAGCTGCAGTCGAACTTGTTTTTCTGGGACGGGGGTTTAGGGTTTAGGGTTTAGGGTTTAGGGTTTAGGGTTTAGGGTTTAGGGTTTAGGGGGGGGTGGCTCTGACAAAGTTCTCTCAGATGCCCTTCCGTTGGACTTGGAGAGCACGCCGGAAAAGAAGGCCTCCTGCAAGCCCCACAGCCGCGCCAATGAAAGTTGCAAGCCAAACACGAAACCTTAAACCTCATAAACCCCCCGAACCCTACAAAGCCGAAACTGTTGTCAGACTTAGCTTTTGGATGTGAAGCTTGAGGCTTCGCCCGCGGATCTAGAGGGTGTGGCCCTAAGGGCTCAGGGTTTACTTGGACCCTTCAAATCTAAACCCAGAATCCGCAGTGATGAAGAATGGCACACAATTCATCCCCAAGTCCTAAAGCCCTACTTCTCTGCCGCCTCAAGAATGGATTGAGCGCGAAGCCCAAGCCCAGAACATCAAACATCGACACAAAGGGCTGCAACAGCCAAGAACCCGAAACATCAATCCACAAGTGGCCATGCAGCAACAAACCCCTTGAACCCACGCCCTTCCTCCACCCAAACCCGCACAGTCAGCTGCTTTGATTTGTCGTAGTGGGTGACGGGTTTTTGATTTTGTTGTGCTTGGGGCTTCATGGCTTCGTCTGGGGTAGTTGCTTCGGTGGAGTTCGGCCCGCGGTTTGAACATCATGCTGAAAGCTGAAACACATCTCCTCGCCCCACAGCAAAAAGTCTGACCGTCACAAGCTAAGCCCCAAGACAGAGAGAGAGAGAGAGAGAGAGAGAGAGAGAGAGAGAGAGAGAGAGAGAGAGAGAGAGAGAGAGAGAGAACCCTCCAAACCCTAAACCCTAGACCCTGTTGGAGTTTAACTCTCACTCTAGCTGTTGGAGTGAGAGTTAGAAAGTTCAGCGTTTTTCCAGGTTTAACTTGATGCGCCCTATGATTCGTCCCAACCCCCCCCCCCCCCCTGAGATGAAACCTGAGCGTTACCAGCCTCCGGCTCGGTACAGCTGGCAAGGCACGCAGGTGTCTCTTTTAGCTCTGCTGGCTAAGTGTATCACTCTGATCCAGAACCTCGGGCACAGGCCACTGCATGCCATGATGACTGAACCCTGTGGCATACCTGTCTCTATTTCAGTCAGGCACAAATTTAAAAATTCAGCTCATTTGGCATGTCGTATGACGATAGTGGCGGCCACGAGGTCTCGTTCCAAAAACGAAACATAGCGAGAGTGCGCAGCAGTAAGTTTCTATACAAATCAGCAACTATTCACAAGAGCAGTCAACGATAAGGGTGTGCTTCACAACAGCAAAAACAAAAAGCCCTGAGCTCGTCTCCGTTCTTTTATCGGTGAAGGACTTGTTGTCACACCTTCTCAACTGGAGTTGAGTTCGCGCTTGACACACTTATCCCAAACAAAAGAACAGCTACCTTCCCTGTGAGGAAGCATGCTTTTGTGGCTCCCACGCATTTTGTACATGCGCTACCGCGAAGCCTGTTGCATCACAAGACACAACTCACAGGACGAGCTGGATTACAGCAGCACCAATGAGGATGTAATCGTAGGAGGCGTTGAAGTAGAACTTCACCTTCTACCCCACGAAGACGAACCCCATGAGGAGGAACTCCATCCTTGGTTCCATGAAGGATCCCACGACCAATTGGACCAGTATGGGCCTTGAGAGGATCCCTTGCCTCTTGGCGAGCCTTCCCCTTTTCTGGCCTTACCAGCCCCTTTTCCTTTTGGAGGCGCCCAAAGTTCTTCATGTCTCCTTCTACCACTGGCTTCGTACTCGTAGACTTCAGGGTTGTCGTCGAAAGAGACTTCTCTCCTCGCAGCAGCTGGCTTCGCCGCTGGCTTAGCCTTTGGAGGAGCTGCTGGCTCTGGCACTGCTGAAGGTTCCTCACTTGGAAGCGAGCCTCCTTCCTTGCTCTTGCTTTTGCCTTTGCCAGGTGGAGCACGACCTTCGCCTTGTACTGGTTCGGCAGGAGCACCACGCTTTTTAGCCTTCTGTCTCTCTTTCCTGGATTGGGACGCCTGCAAGATCGACTCCTTCGACCTGTACGTCTTCTTCTCAGAGAACTTCATCCAGTTAGGAGCGATGTGTAGAAGCAGTGGTGTGTGACTGTCATTGTCCGAGGGCTTCAGGAGGAAGTGGTTCTTCGTCGAGTGCAGCAAGAATTCACTCACCGAAACCTTGTACTCCATGCTGCCCTTGTACTCAGCCCACACCTCATTGGTCATGCTATGACCCCATTCGAAGACGATGGCAGTCATGCAGTCCAAATCAGGAAACGTCGTCCAATCCACTAGGTGGCCCACATCGCCGTAGGGGAACCCAAGCTTCTCCTCGTAGAGTTTGAGAAGATGTAGAGGGTTCGAAGTCACGACGCGTGTCCTTGGGATCAACAACCTGTCCTGACGTTGGTGCTTCTCGAAGGCGCCGACGAAGTACTGGATCGTCGAGAAAAGGGCTGAGCTGTCGTGTGACACTGACCCCTGTTGGCTACCTCCGAATCGGTAGCATGACATGTTGCCATCTCCGCCCATCAGATCCACTTGGTAGTGGAAGCAGTCAGCGACCATCGCAGCTAGTCCCTCGGCCAAGAAGCCGGGCTTAGAGCGTGCGATTTCACTTCGAACGTGGAAGTTGCAGACACGAATTGACTTCATGCCTGCACGCGTGAGATCTTCCTTGAACTCGGCCTCCTCGAAGGCGGACTCCACTCGATCAACCAGGTCTTCTTGTTCCATTCTCTCTCGAGGAACGGTACTTCCATAGTTGATCTGGACGATCTCATATCTGATGGGAATCCAGGCATACGCAGGGTCTTTGAGGACCGGACCAGCAAGGTGCTTGAAGCTGACCTTGTTCTTACCCTTGGTGTTTCCTCTGACAGCAGTGAGGAGATCTCCTGCCTCATTTGTTCGGAACAACCAGCCCTTGGACCTGAAGTAGTCCAACTCTTCTCTCGTCATGTTGTTCTCCTGCAGCAGAATAACATGTGCCTTGGAGTGAGAGAGGAACTTCACAATGATGGAGCTTCCATCGGAGTAATCCGAGATGAGGTCGGCATACTTTGGAGGAAGTGTGCCCTTTCTGCCCCTCGCGAAGTTCCCCAAGTTGGCAACCATCACGCTAAGACCTACTCTGGAGGTGGCCAAATGCGTCATCTCTGCCATTGGATCGGGTTCCTCAGCAAAGGCTGAGCTTCCCAAGCTCGTGGTTTCGAGACTTCCACAGGCCAGAAAGTGCCGAAGAAGAGTGTTCAGAAGATCACCTCTCGTAGCATTGGTTTTTGCCAGTGACTCCATCAACAGCGCCTCCTTCTCCGCAATGGCAACATGGGCATTGTATGATCTCTCAAGTGCATCAGTCGAAAAAGTGCTCCTCACATCAATGCTCTTGAAAGCCACTTGTTTTGCTGCAGGACGAAACTCCCACAACGGTGGCATCGTCGCCATTGTCTCGAAGAAGGGCACTTCTGGAACCTGGAACTTCCAATTTGACCGAGCAGGAGCCGCTCTATCCCTCCAGCTCATATGCTGGAGTCGAAATCGGTTCTGAGCCGACTGCGCCCGAAGACCACCATGGAGAATGCCATCACTTTCTCCATACTTCTGCCGACTGAGGATGTAGATGGGCGAACCCTTTTCAACCCTCTCCAGCTCATCAATGAAGCGCTGGTACTCGGGCAACTGCTCCAGGGTCGCCTCTTCCTTTTTGTCGGCGAAGGATCGAAGAGCATCCTCATTCTGCTGAGTGATCTCTTGGAGATCCTGCGGAGTAATAACAGTCTGTACATTACCCCACAGGCCTTGGGGCGTTCCCGAGGGTGCCTCACTTGGAAGTGAGCTTCCCTCTGTTTCCCCAGTGGTGACCATTGGCGTAGAGGACTCCTCCTCCACCTTGAAGTCACCTTCCTCGACCTTCAACTGGACTTCGGGATCTGGCTCCTTGACCTCTTCGGTCGCATCGGGCATTGGCTCTTCTTTGATGTGCGCTTCGGAAGATGGTGGTGGTCCCTCTGCTGTAGCAGAGCCCGCTTCCTCTTCCATTGTTGCATCCAGAGAGGAAGGCGCCACCTTGGGTTCCTCAACTCGTGTTGAGCTTCCCCAGGATTCATCGACCTCGATGACCTCCTCGATTTTGATGGTTCCTTCATTGTTCTCGAAGGTTCTCTCAAGCTCAAAATCTTCCACAGGAATGCCAAGGTAGTAGTCGACGAATGCCTCCTCGGACTGGCGAATCTGCACATACTGCTGCAAGTCCTGAACGGCCTTGGAAGCGAAGCGAGAGAGGAACTTCCGCTCTGGGTACGAAGCGACGGTGCGTTCGATTTTCTTCAGGATGAGTTTGGGCTCAAACGGGAGCCTCAATGAGCAATCTCTATGCTCACTATTGTCCTGTGCGCGCACAACAAACTTGTTCCGAAGTGCTTGGTTGTCACGATTCTCCTTCATGTACAAGAAGAAGTCACTGCCATAGAGTTCCACGAACATGTCGTAGAGGTTGACGAAATCGCTCTGAATGTTGATGAGCTCCTGGGCCACCATCAGCTCGTGCCGAAATGCCTGGTACTCTGCGAGCTTCTCAGCGTAGTTCTCTGTGCCTTCAACTGGCATTCGATTTCGCTCATCTGTGACCTCAGGCTTTGCTCTCCCGTAAAGAATTCCAGGGGTGAAGACTGACTCGGCCTTAGATCTGAGCTCGGTGAAGTAGTCCGCGTCCCAATGTGGAGTATGATGGTCATAGTGAGAGACCTTCAACTGAAAGTCAATGAGCACATTGGCGGCTATCTTCCCCAGTCTGAATGCCTCCAGGAAGAAGAGAACCGGGTATCCACTCAGAGGATTGTGCAACCAAAGAGCCTGATCAAGCTGGAGCTTCTTCTCACACTGACATGAACATCTCGGAATCGAACAACCTGTACATAGCCAGTGCCGTAGGAGTCAACCTTGCGCTCATTGTCCTCCATCAAGGCAATGGTGCCTTTGTAGAACAGCGTCCAAGGATTGGCCCTAAGCTGTCGGATCAGGTCCTCTTGGGCCCTGACTTTTTCTGCTTCAGCTGTCAAAGAAGTTTTTACACTCCCTTCAACTTCCATGCCACGCTCAAAAGGAATTCTTTTCCCTTCTGAGCTTGTTTCTGACTGCTGAACATGCCTCTTCTCCTCCTCTTCAATGATCTCTCGAAGGGAAGTGAGATCAAAGTGGGGCACTTCCCCAACCGTGGTTGGGCCTGTGCTAGGAGGCCCAGCTTCCTTCGTTGTTGTTCCAGAACCCTTGGATCCCTCTGCTGAGGCAGAGCTCCCTTTGGTCCCGGCTGAGCTGGACGCAGGGCCACGAGAGCTTGAACTGGGAGCTGAGGGTTCCTCAGCTTGTGCTGAGCGTCCCTCGCGTTTTTCCCACCTGCGTCCACCCGGGTCCTTCTCGTGAGGGGGCCTCCAGGTGAAATGCAGGTAGCTCGGTGGCACACTCTGGAAGCTCAGGATCACACCGTTATCGGACAGGTAGAACTTGCACCCGTCTGAAATGGCCTGGTAGAGGTCCAACACGACATAGATGACATTCGAGCCGTAGCGGATGACAGTGCCAGCCCTTGGGGCCTCCTCCCCACCAGCGTAGGTGAAGTGCACAGCGCACCGCGGATCCCTCTTTTCACCTGGCCTTCCAGCGTCCGTGATTAACCCCTGCTTGAGGATGTTGTCGTGGTTCCACTTCTCGGTGGCGTGGAAAACATATCCCAGGCGACCTGCCATTCCCAGGGTGATTTCCATACCCAGCGCCTCCTCAGTTTGGACTGAGCTTACGCGAGTATGACCCTGAATTGCTCCAAGGCGTATGTTCATAGCGAAGTCTTGCACTCCTACCTCGCCTGTGGGCGAGCATGGAGCTGGACGGACGTAGGTGAAAAACCTTCCCTTGGAGTTGGTGAGCATGAAGGCGGCAAACCAAACGGCGTTTGTCTGCCTGGGAATCACTCTCCGTGTGTTACAGGATCCAATAGGGAGAGAGTTCATCTCGTCCAAATCGTTCCTGTGCACGGCCTCGTGGCGGAACACAGCAGAGAATGCCTTGGAGGCGCTGACCGTGCTGCTATAAGGAGTGTTCTGTTCTCTCGTTACCTGCTGGGTGGTGAGAGTGAACTTGTACAACTCCTCAACCGAGAGGCACCCCAAAAGGGTCGTCACGAAGTAGAAGTCCCAGCGCTGAGAACTGCTGAGGATCGTTCTGCCTGTCCTGTCCTCGTACAGGATGACGTGCCAGAGCAAGGCTAACTGGCCCTCTATGGTAGGCAGATCTCTGTCAGCAATCCTCAAGGTGTATGGGTAGACGTCCCTAGGCATATTCCTCGTGCCATCTGCACTTGGAAGGTACACTCTGCCCGTGCCGCTGTAGAGGCTTGACGCGGTCCCTTCTCTCGAGAGAAGCATCCGCCTTGAGCTCCAATGCACGGAGTTGATCCAGTGGCTGTAATCGGGCTCGCCCTCGGGTGTGAATTGCGGCTTGAAGCCGACACTTGGCTCCCACGCGGCATGAGTGAGCGCTGCGGCTGCCATGGTTCCGTAGCAGGGAAGCGGTAGGCAGCTAAAGCGTGGGAAGCACCGACGGGCTTCGGAGATTGCAGGCACAAATTCTAAAAAGAGACCTAAACTCTACTGCAGCGACAAACAAGGACATGTGACTGTTTCAGTGCACATGACAGTACATGACTGCAAAAAGCGCTCTCACTCCCTCGTCTCTTTCTCAGTCTTTCTTTTCACAAGAACTGATCATGAAACACACCTTGCTGCAAAACTGAAAACCCGACAGCTCCTTCCGGAGCCAGGCGCTCAGAAAAGCTTTGTGTTCCAAAAGAGACCTAAAGGGGGGATGAGCATCTATCTCCTTCAGCCAGCCCTTTTGAACTGACTGAACCAAATTGGTGGATTTGGCAGACCGTTTCGTCAAACAATCCGCCAGACAGTGTTCTGTGCGCACATGTGAGAGGTCCGCAATGGCCCCAGAGCAAGCTTCCTTTCGAAGCATCTGTATCATGTGTATGGTTTCTTGTTGCTCAGGGGCATGAGTGGTTGAAGCAGTTGTAACCAAATTGTTTGCATCAGTTCGCATATGGATCTCGGCATCTAGACCACTGATGTCCTTCCACAAACCCCTCAGCATCTGACAGGTGCCGAAACACTTCATCAAGGCATACAGCTCAGCAACTGTCGTGCTCAAGGTAGTCCTCTTGATCTTAGTGGATTCGAAGAAAATCAGGGAGCCTCTGGTGTCCCTACGATTCTTTACCCTTTGATCGGCGATAAACACTGTCATCGCTCTCTGTGAGGACTTGTCACTGTTGTTTCTGAAAGCAGCATCTGGAATGCCGAGGATGCGAGGTGTGCCTTGGACTGGCCAAATCCTAAGCTCCACCTCTTCACTCCTGATTTGTCGACAGAGCTTGTTCAGCTCCTTACAGTGACCAACCGTAGGTGCAGCTGAGGCCGATGCGAGACGTGAGAATGAGTAACAAGCCTGAAACTGAGTCCTGGACTGCAACCAGTTGATACTACCTAGCAAAGACCTGTAGGAGGTGTGAAGTTGTTTGTCACACACATCAGTGTCCTTCAAGTGTTTGGGGATGACGATCTCTTCGAGCTCTGAGACGCTCAACTTCTGATCAATTGAGATGTACTTCTTACTGCCCTTGTCGTCAACAACCCATCGAACCCTCTGACCAGTGAACATAAGATCATTTTTGTCTTCATGTCCAACGGTGAAATGTTCCTTGACCCTAGCCAAGAACCACTTCAGGAAACTTGGGGTTCCAGCGATGATCAGGTCATCAACATGAAGGCTGAGGACTCCTACCGACTTCCTGTGCTTACTAGGGCTACCATGAACAGGATCAACAAAGTGTTCTAAGAGCTGATCTACAAGTTCAGGGGTAAGCTGAGGAAGCTGTTCTGTGGTCTTGTAGGCCGCCCTTTCAGGAAGGAACAGTGTCACGAGCACTTCGGCCTCCTCCTCGAGATAGCTCGGCTCGTTCTTGTTCCTAAGGTCCTGAGCCTTTTCAATCACCCACCAGGTTCCTTGGCACAAGATGATAGATACCCGGTAGGGATAATCCTTAATCTTATAGGTCGGTTCAGGACCTCTCAAAGCCTTCGCCCTGTGGGACACAAGGGCCTGGCCGTTCTCGAAAGGGAACCAGCCTCTCTTCTTGTGGGCAACGCCACCAAGAAAGTCAAGCAAGGTTTTATCAGTGACTGGCCTCCAGTCATACTCAACCAGGTGCTTGGTCTTAAAGGCTTGCGCAATGTCGGGGTATGCTAAATAGGACCTTTCTACCGCGGTGTCGGGAGAAGACGGCGGTTCTTCACAAGCAGATAACAACGCAGCTAGTGGAGACTCTGTGATGATGCCCGGTAAGTCTCCTATTGGCGGTTCCTCTCCTAGAGGAGAGCATCCTTCTTGGAATAGACTTACCTCTTCTGCGATCTTTGCTGCCGATTTCTGCTTTTCGACTCCTTCGTATCCTACATAGGTGCATCGGTCTGCCCTTGTGGGCTGCAGGCCGATGGTCCGCAGGAACTTGTCGAGTCGATTCCACCATCGACGCGGCGCGTCGTTGAGGCCATACACTGGCCGCAAACAGAGACCGACCATCCAAGGCGGCAAACCAATGTCGGGAGGCAGCTGAACAATCACGCTGCGATGCTGCAAGTTATAGTGTTCCCCCTGAAGAAACGCAGTCTTAAGGTCCAAATGAAACAAATCCCAGAAATTATTGGCAGCGCACTGACAGACCAAACGAAAACCGTATCGCGTAGCAGTTGGACTATCCGTCTGCTGATCCCAGGCATTCTTGTCCTGAAAACCACGACAGACCCAACGAGCCTTAAACTTAGAAAAGAACCCATTTTTGTCGACTTTCACAGTAAGAACCCAACGACCTGTGAGAAAATTCACATCCTTGGCTAACTTCCTGCGATCGACAAATCGAAGGGCATCATTATCCAAGTAGCTCTTGAACTCGTCCAATTTCGCGGCTCGGATTTCCTTGGCGTACTTACGCTGCATGTCCTGTGTGATCGTACCAGCCTTAATTTTATCCTGCTTAGTAAGCCACGACGCAAACGCATCACCATCAAAAACAGCCCACTGCGGCGGACTCAAATCGTGAGGAAGGACCAGAAGAACATCTTCCTCCCCCTCGACCAAGGAAGCAAGAGACGACTCACCGTAATCTCGCGTCGCCTGGCTATCGTCTGAGTCTGAGTCCGGCACTGGCGCGTCCGTAGCCGGAGGCGCGACGGGAGTTTGCTGAATCGGAAACTCTCCTTCCGCCACGGGAAGTCCTGGCGGTCCGCTAGGCTGTGAAGAAGACGCGGTCGGATCTGTCTCATCCTCGTCTGGAAACGGAGCGGAAACCTGCGGATCTCCCTTTTTCTCCGGCAACGGCTGACCCGGAAGAGGCACAGCGGCCTCCGGAATCTTGTTTGGGTAAACAGGGAAACGCAGTTTTGGTGCCGCACTTGCGGGAATCGGATGCGCCGGTTCCTCGGTGCGTAACTTAGGCTTACTTGGCTCATCAGGATGTTTGCCGCGTGCACGCGTAATCGGCACGTTACGTGGCGAAGCCGGTTGAACAACAGGAGGAGCTGGGAAATTCGGATGCTTAGGAATTGGAGCTCTAAACACTGGCCCCGGTTTGGAAGGCGGGAGAAGCGGCTGATCCGGATGTGAGTAGATTTTTGCGCCTGGCGCGTCAGGCGGAGGACCTGGAGGCGGCGGCTCCATATGAACTTCCATAGGAGTTCCGCCATCCTCGAAGTCTTCAGGCGAAGGCCCGAACCCTGGTCCCGGTCCTGGAGGACCGCCTCCAGGCGGAAAGGCCCCCTGTCCTGGAGGATTTCCTCCGTCATCTCCATCCACATCTATCGGAATTGCCGCTCCATCTGGAGGGCCATCAGGTCCCGGCCCTGAAGGGCCACCCTGAGTCTCTTCCTCACCTTCATCCCACGACATATCACCCGGCACGGGTGTGTCATGGTAGTCCTGGTATCCCGGTACCTGTCCTGGAGGACCGCCTCCAGGAGGATTTTCAGGATCATCTCCACTAGAGGTGCCAGGAGGCACGCCTGGTGGAGGTGCATCTGGAACTGGCTGATCGGTAAAGTCCAGGGACACGTCTGGACCTCTCCTTTTCCTGGGAGGACCGATCTCATTCCAAAACACGATCAACGACCATCCTGACACCGCTACGTCCCTTAGACATGGGATAAGCTGCGCGAGGTTCATGAAAAACACATGTTCATAGTCTCCTAACTTCCACATGATCACGACGGCATCAGGATGTCTCTGAATAACAGGAAGAACCTTACCAAAAGTCCCCCTGTAGACATTGCAATTCTCAAACTCGAGATACGGAAGTGTCAAAGTCCTGATGTTTTTGAGGACTCCTCTCAGCGACTGAGCCTCCTGAGTGGTGGAGGTATTCACCTCCAGCTCTGTTCCAGGAGCAAGACCTTCAATCGCCCTGAGTCCTTGAACAAGAGAACTCGTCACGAACCTTTGAGGCAATATGAACTGCAAGGCGCTAGGGAGTTGATTCTTCTGAGCATTCAAAAAAGATTGTTCGGAGGTACTCGGAAGTGCTGAACAGACTTCACTGTTCCTATCAGCACGCAAACACAGAGAACACAAATCTCCATCGTCGAAATCCTCAAGGAGGTCTTGGAAAAGACTCTCTTGTCGATAATCACTACGATCAGTACCTTGAAGACATTCAGCCAAGAGAACAACAAATCTAGGAGAGAAAGAAGTGCTACTACTCATGAAAACTCCTCGCAGTGATTTCAATCTCTCAAACCAATCCCTTCCTAGATTCGTCATGAGAGTTGCTCCCTCGTCTTGGCCGAAACAAATCGACGACATGCCAATTCTCCAGTGTAGTGAACGAGCAGCCTGTGATGTGAAAAATCCCTGGTCTGTCAACCCCACGACAGCAACTTCACCTTGATTCTGATCCTGCCATCTAACGACTTCTGCACAAAAATGCCAGTAAGTCTTGATGGCCTTCTTGTTTCTCACAAGTGAATCAGGTATCGTTGGGTTGATCACCACAAGCGTGGGTGACGCATGCAACAGAGTTTTCCATGCCGAGGCGATACTCTGCTGGATCGCCTTTGGCTGCCAACTTTCCACGTGAACTGGCTCTCCGATTCTGTTCCCGTGCCGAGCCATACAGGCCGTGATTCCCGTAGGCCCTGGGGCGATTTCAAGGACATCACAAAATCTTCCCCCGTGCGTGTGATAACAAATTTCGTGTTCAGCGCAACATTGTGGCTCGTATTCACAAAACAAACCACCAGGTTCCTCTCCCGGTGGAGAGCCTCCTGGTACCTTGTCCATGTCAAGAGGAATATGGACATCATGCCAGGGGTCATGGTCTCTACGAATCTTTGACTGATTCACTCGAAGGATGGCTTGATGCACATGAACAATGACCATCGCACCTTCCTGTCCCATGACCTTGCCTCTAACCCATACTCCTTCTGACTTTATCTTAGAC